TTTGACCTTTATTGTATACTACGATTGCGTCCTTTTGTAAATATCAAATCTTTAAAATACATATTTATGTAAAATCATGTGATTTGGAAAATTGATTAAGTCAAATATCGTACATAATATATCATTATTTATTAAATTGTACATAAAAATAATAATTTTTCATTAATTATACATTTACATTCCTTATAAAGTACAATTCCACTGTTTAATATTATTGGCCAACAATTTATGAAAACAATAAGTACTTAAAATTATTTTTTCTTATTGGTGTTTATCTATTCAGCTTAAAATGGAAATTAGTTTTACATTTTGAAATTTCTCGATGAACTTAATTCAAAAATATAATAATATAAGTGTACATAAAAATATAGAGGTCGTAAGAATTTAGAATCATTATAATAATAAAAATAATAATAATAATAAATCGGTTAATAATGGACTTTCCAGTCATTAATTAAATTAATTTAATGAGTGTTATGGTATTAATCGATAAGAGTAACATGTATGTCCACAGCTACCTCACCGACGATATTCTGGACAGTTATTTTGTTTTTCATTTGTTTGAATTTGTTTAACAATTTTCAAAATCTTCATTTTACCTCCACTCCCGTTATAAGTAAAAAACATATTTTCTCATGTCCTCGACTTCCACTTTATAATAATTACATTTTTAATTTAAAATAGTATTATTTACAATTTATTTTAATTTGTTTGAAAATTTTAAATATCTGTACTGTGATCTCTTTCTCTCTCATTACATTAATAATAAAAAAAAAGTGTTTTTTCAATTTCATGTCTTATGCAATGCATATCATAATTTTGGTATTTGAAATTTATAATATTGATCTAAATGTATTATTAAATCAATGTATTATTTTAAGACGTGAAAATATTGTCTGTATCTATTATTACAAAGTATATTAGAACAAAATCACTATTTTTTCTTGTATTAACAATAATGAAAACACAACACAACTAATATAATTTAATATATTGCATTATATTATAATGCAAACAAAAACAAAAATCGATAAAGAAAAAAATATGGCGAAAATCACACAGTATTATTAAGATTAGGAATTTTACAACAAAAATTACATCAATTAATAATTATCTTTAAAACTCATAATACTAACAAATTATCAGTGTTATAACAAATTTTAAATTATTAAAAAGTAGGAACGGATGACATGGGAAAATAGGTTTCTTGCCTATGCGCAGGGGCAAGGCCGTAACTGGGGGGTTCAGGGGTCCGGACCCCCTCCCCCCCCCCCCGAATTTTTCAAAAGTAGAACCATTTAGCTGGGGGTGAAGTTTGTTTACTATAAATAAAATGAACTAAAATACAAACCTCACCCCCCCCCCCCGAAATTTTTTTCCAGTTACGGCCTTGCGCAGAGGGTATGCTGCTGCATACCCTAAACATAAAGTCTTGTTTCTAAACATACAAAAAAATAGATAAAAATCATGTCATATTTGATCTTTAAATATATATTATGTGATTTTGTATAGCATTAAGCCCGGATTATGATAATTTGGGGCCCATAACTATAATCAAAATATTGATGACACACAAATATATTTCAGAGATAAAAAGAAAATTATTATTCTAATTTATAAATTTATTTCTTGCTTATTTTAATACAAAAAATAAAAATTTTATTTATATAAATAATTTTTTCTTTCTTTTTGGGAAGCAAACCTTTTAATTATATTATCGGTATTAATTACTTCTAAAACATTACTTTCTGAACACAAAACCATAAAAAAAAAACTAAAAAAACCTACTATCCAACAAGGGCCTACTATCGTTTGATATCCTTTGTGGGCCCGGAGCCATGGCCTCCGCTACCACCCCCTTAATGCTAGCTTGTATTGCATTATGATTTTAATTATATTTTTATATTCAGTCCTAGAAATTTTTATCTATTTTTAAAACACAAATTATATATTATAATAACGATTTAATAATTAATGAAATTAAGAAGTACTATGCTTCAAAAGAAATTAAATAGCTTTCAACAATGGAGCAATAAATAGCAATAAATTAAAATTCCAAAAAGATTGGTGATATTTAAAACTCGACCAATTGCAGAATTGTTTTATGATCAATTATAATTATTTATCAAATTTATTTTGTTTTTCATCTAAATATATAATTACGTTTTTTTTTATTTACCCTAGGTATTTAAATGTATTACTCAAACCATTTCAAGTGTTCTGTAATTAATTTTTTTTTTCATAATTTATTTTAAATTTAAATTATGAAAATAGTTATAACAATGAAGAAATGACTATTCAGTCATTTTTTTCAGGAAAAAAATTAAAATTTTAAAATAAGCAGTTATTTAGATATTTGTGTGTATATTTTTACCTGAATTTTTAACGATTAAATTAACTTTCAGTAGTGGTGGGACTAGGCAGTGATATACTTTTACTGTAAAAGAGGTCTGTGTACGTATATGTTTTTTTGCTTATAACGGGAATGAAGGTAACATGAATATTTTGAAAATTATCAAATTCAAACAAAATAGCAAACAATACTATCGTAAAAAAAAATTAAATATCCAAGATATTACAGATTATATACAGTTAGACATATGTCCTTAGCTCTTTCTGATGGTTTTTGGTATTTTTTAACTATTATTGAACAAATTTTGATAATGATCAAACAAAATATCTGTAAAATAATTTTCTAGAATATCGTCGGAGAGAGGGTTGGAGAAAAGTAAGTATAAGAGTGGGGTCATGAGATTTAACTTTTGTAATATCGTCGTTTTGCAAATTGTTTCCAAATAATTCGTCAAAATAAGAAATTTTGTTTGCAAGTCATAAAAAAAGAGTTTGCAATTAATTTGCAAAATATTGTTATTGATTCTTTATAAATAGATCAACTTGGGAGGATCACGTGAAGCTAACCTCCCCTGATCGAAAATGTTTACTGTCAAGTTGGGGTGATTTTCAAATATTAAAAATAAATTTTCAATTATTTCTAGTTGATTTATTAAATATTAGTAATTGGTTTCGAATGTATCGGTCAGCTTGGTTGAGATACTTCATGAACATACCAAATATGTTTACCTCAACTAAATATAAATTACGGTCACATTACATATTGTTTTTTTACCCGACTTAGAGGCGCAAACGAAACACTGTAAAGGTAAATTAAGTGAATATGAAATATAATCGGATAACGCCCGTGCACGTATGTGGTCGAAATTAAAAAAAAATGTGAACGCGTGTGATGTAATAGTGGAAGAAAAATAATAAATACAAATTCGTCGGCGAACCTATCGCGCGTATAATAGTACAATATTGTCTATATATGGACACGAATACTTGAAAATTCCTAAACAGAAAGCACCGTATGATATCGTTGTTGGTCATGATAATGTTATGACTATTCATGGTTTCGTTCGTACAGTAAATTTATATTCGAGGTCGATATTTCACGTAATCTCCGTAAGAGACGCGCGCGTGCGTGAATATAATATACCGATATGGTTACAGAACGCGTCGTTATGATATCATCGATGCGATGTTATTCGACGTGTAAATTATTAAACGTTTGGACGAATTTTCTATTTTGTCCGCGTAAAAATGTAACCGTTTTTTGTAGAGTCAAAATAAATTCGAAAACAACAGGCACGTCACATCAAATTTTATTCATTTCACACCTAACTCATTGACAGTTAAGTACAAATAAAAATATAAATTAATACGAAATGTGATAAAAAACATTATAAATATTTAAAGGTAAATGTGATTAGGTAAAACGTCAATAAAGTATGTTAAAATGATACTATTTATTACGAGTATATGAAACAGATGTGCTTGAAATTCCAAAAAAAAAATTAAAATCTTATTATTTAAATATATATACATAAATATTCCATAATAATTATTAATTAAAAAAAAAAAAAAAATTGAAAGATATATGTTCAATTAGTAATTTCTAACTATCAACCCATTTTGCACTCATAACTGTGATATTTACGGTCAATCTAATTAGAAGTTAGAAGGAAAGAGAAAATTGCATTTCGCTCAAACACATGTTTTAAAATCATTCACTTAAACGCAAATTCCTATATAATATTCGAGATGTGCTACACTTTACCTCTAAGAAGTTTATTGTATTATTATTATTAGTGCATTTCAGCAATACATACTCAATACATTATTACGAATATGTATAACATAGATTATCTACATAAGATTATAAAATTGATAAAATCGTTGCTGTTCCAGACGTAATTTTTTTTACTTAAATTCCTTTCGTATCTGCTTAATAGCTTGAACGCCACTCGTTGAATATTATATTTCTATCACTCCATCTACAGTAACGATTATACGTGCGCAGGAACAATGAGCGGATATACTTTTACGACGAGATAAAATGTCAAATTAAAAATTAATACAGTTGTTAAATTAATAATTAATATCGCGTCAAATTATCTTCTCAATCGTGTACTTATAGTTTCTTACAGCAAACGTGTAATATACTAAATTACAACACAAATAATAAGTAATTCAATGCAGAAACGTGTACTGTATAACAATTCCGATCGAAATATAACGCGTTGAACAGCTATGAATTTCGTATATTCTCAACGATTTTTGTCGGAATAAACTTCGAGTCGTTGTACATACTTTTCAAAGCGATTACATTTCGAGTCATCGGGTCCTGATGTTAACGCAGTCAACGTTTTTCAACGACGAGAGTCGGTCGGTCGATTCGTTTTTGTTATTTTCCTCCGTTCGAGAAAACCCGAATTGATTAACCAACCATGTTAGCCGACCGTCAATCCGGCCGGTAAAAATGCGATAACTGTTACTTTTTCAGCGGACGTGCTTATCGGCCTTACTGACTTAACATTTTACTGGACTTTTGTTTCTCTGGTGACGTCAAACAACAGAAACGGTGCTGGCAAGGGCACACGTCCATAAACCAATCGTCTAGCTTAACGTAGTACTTGACGTAAGAGTTAAATTTTACGTACCGGTATGGAGTGCGCGGAGAGCGCACTGCTGCGGTCCGCGGTGGGTCTATGTTGTCCCGACGACGGACGGAAATCTCGACGCGAGACCGATATCACGTGCGCGTTTGAAATCGAAAAGTCCTACGAGAAAAAAATCAAACGCCCGGGCGGATGTTGAAATGGAATGGAAAAAAAAACAAAGAAAAATTAACACGAAAACCGAACGTCGCGACTAGAAAATAATATTGTAACCACGAAATCGTTGTTAATGAAACGTTACTGTACGCGTGTAGTCGTCTGGTGCTGTTGCTCGCTGGTGCTGCGTCACTGATGAACGGCGGTGTGCGATTGTCGCCGAAGTCGACACCGGTCGCGTGGCTTTGAGAGACGTTTCGATGGCCTCAGAGAGACCGGGGCGGCGGGAGTTTTAAAAATAAATCCTTCGCGGCGGCTTTCACGGGACGACACGCGTGCGCGCATACGAAATATATATACGAAAATACACGCTCACACACGCATACGAAAATACACACTCACACACACATGCATAAGAAAATACACACACACACGAAAATATGCGCTCACAAAAACTCGCAAATTTACCAGCGATACGCCGTCAGCCTAATGTTTACAATATTGTTATTTTCAGTGTACTCGTGAAACGTCGTCATAACGGTGTTCGAGCAATAAATCTCGATTGAGAATAATAAAATTTCAAGCTGATCTCACTTCACGTTTATAGCATAAGGCTGACGGACGTTTCTAGTGCAATAATCATCACTCACTAACGGTTTTATAATTTATTTATTTATTTTTAATATTTAATCAACTTAAATAATTTTAAATCAGCGAAAACCGAAAAATGTATAGATATTTTTTGATTAAATGAGATATTTTTAAAATTGAACGCAATTTAATAAATACTAATAATCAAGATCATAACATTAGAAATTTAACGACAATATGTATAATTTTCAAGTTCAATATTAATAAAAATATAATATTTTCAATTGAAACAAATTTGAAATAAAATATTTTGGAAAAATAGAATACCTAAATATAATATGATATAACAGTAAATTATTTAATGTGATTTAAAACATTTTTGTTTAGTGATCAACTATCTTGATGATAAAATTGTACCCGCGCGATTGATTTCCTAACGACCTAATATACACAATCCAACCGGCGATGGATTGTTCGTTACCGTTTCACCGACGAAATCAATAACCATAATGTTAAGTTTGTATTTCATTATGAAATGGGAACGAAAACGTATTTTAAACTGATCATCATTATTCCAGTTTAAAAAAGTGACACACGATCAATCGGAAACCAAGAAAAAAAACGTAGTTGGACAACATAGAAAACGACGATAAGAAAAACATCCGTTCCTTCATAAAGCAGCGTCCCTAGATGAGAAGCATTACATAAACACATTAGTGGAGAAAAATACGAGAAATGCAACGACCATGTGTGACTTGTTCGCAGTGCTTTTCTCGTGAAAATTAATTATTGACGAACTTGTTGCAAAACGCACAATGAAAAAAAAAATTATGGTTATTGTAATAAGTCTATACGAGAAATATTAAATGCAAGATTCAATATTATTTTTTTCTTCGAAAAAAGAAAAGTTTATCAAATATACCAACTTGAGTTAGTCGAGTTAAATCAACACAACAATTTTTAAGTTAAAGTATGTAATGTAGCTGGATACGATTAACAAGTTATTCTAATCTAGTTACAAGTTAATTTTTTTTTTGGAGAAACTTGTTATAAGTTACACATACATATTTACATTTCAGTGGTCACATAGATACATACAATAACTATAAGCTTACATAACTACACAAAACTGCAGTTTTACGGTCAATACAACAAAGTTATTATTATTACAGAAACATACAATCGGTAACCAATGTCTAAGGACCAAGGAACACGATAACTGTATGGGATGTCAAACTATATAGTTGCATAATACAATGCAAAAATAAAATGTCATACTCGAGTATTATACTATCAATGTGAGTAATATATTTCTGCGCCAATATTACACTATATTGCATATCGCCCGGAAACGCGTAAAGCGCACAGGTTTTCGTGACTTCGGAGAAGGTACTGTCTCTTTACCGATTAACCGCGATAAATCGTACAAAACACAATCATGTGTTCAATCCTCGAATCGTATGTTATATTTGTAATGTTTTATATGCAATACCGAAGTCACCGCGTCCAAATATGGTCGTGAAACGTACCAGCGATCGGCAGACCGTTTCAAAATGGTTAAACACGTGTTTAATCTTATATAGTATAATGACGTAATGTGTGCGCCAAGGCAGGATTAAGATTTTATAGGGCTTAAGGCTTATTAATCCACAATAGTGGTTAGTTATTTTAATTGATCATTTTCATGCAATGAATCAAATAAGTCAGACCATTGTGCAGTAAGGTTGTGCTGTACTTTACTCTGTGCGTTATCTTTTTCTAATAACTAAATTACTCTTTGCATTCCTTATATTGTTTATATTTACTTATTAACTACATCATACCTGGAGTCATCTGTAATATTTGTAATATTCAATTCACTGAAATTAATATTCTTGTCAAATGTGATAATTGTGTTCTATCTGCACATTCTAAATATACAGGACTCTCTGCAACTGAAGTTAAGTGTCTTTCTTCAAAAAATAGGTCTCTTAAGTACTTTTGCGATGGCTGTGATCAAGGTCTTAAAGAGTTACCAGAGTTAAAGCTATTAATAAAAAAATTATTGGTTGATGTGGAAAGTATAAAAAAAAATATGAGTTCTAATTCTAATTCCGATAGTACGTCTTTTCGTTATTCTAGTGAATTTATTTTTAACGAAATTGATGAGCGTAATCACTGTGCTAATAATTTATTATTCTATAATATTGAATAATGTAATTCTAATCGGTTGGATGATCGTATTACATCTGATATTGTACAAATAAACAACGTAATCAAAACTATTATGATCAACACATCTGTTATCCCTAAGAAAGTTATTCGCGTTGAAAGCGAATACAAGCTGGGAAATCACGTCCAATTAAAGTCATCTTTAATTCTAAGTCTAATGTATTCGATATTATCAAGAATAAACGTAAGTTATTACAATGCAATGCGCCACTATCATTGATTAATATAAGTACTGATCAGACCCGGTTTCAAAGAGAGGCTATGAATAAACTACGTGAGGAATTAAATTAACGAACTTCGAAAGGCGAAATAGATTTAACGATCAAGTTCATTAATGGTGCCCCAAAAATTATTAAAAAATCGGATCGTCTTTAATCATTCCCAATATCAACAAACTCAAAATTTTTTAAACTAAATGTAATATATCAAAATGTAAGAGGTCTTAAGACAAAATTTCAATTTTTTTCGTAATTCTGTTAATAATTTAAACTGTGATTTATTATTCTTATCTGAAACATAGATAAATAATACTATTAATGATTTAGAACTTGGTATTGTTAATTTTAACATTTTTAGAGCAGATAGAATTGGTACTCATGCTTGTAGAGGAGGTGGAGTGTTATTGGCCATCAGAGATAACTTGGAATGCAGGTGTATCGTAATTGATAATATCAGTGGCATTGATCAGGTATTCGTATAAGTTAATTATAATAACGTTAAATTATTGTTAGGCTGTGTTTACATTTCTCCCAATACCCATAAATATATATATATATATTAAACATTGTGAGCTAGTCGAAAATATTGTTTTTGTTCATTCTGTAGTTAATACACTTATTATTGGTGATTTTAATGTAAATGGCTTCTCTTGTACTGATTATACCCAAATTAATCCTTAAATATTTTTGCGAACGTTCGCTAAAAAATGTGTTCTTGTAAAATGTAATGTACTATACGGTGTTCCGAAGACCAATTTAATTTAGCAAATGTTTGTATACCCATCGTGTTGTAAAAAAATTGAATTAAGAAAAAATTCAGAGATATGATTTTCAATAATTTATGGGAACAATTTTCTTGTACATTTAATGAAAGATGGTATTCAATATATGACACCTTTTACTAATTATAATATACTGTTATAGTTAAATCAATATTGTCCTTTATTTAAATTAAAAACTCTAGCGCCAAATAAATGACATTTTGAATCAAATCAAATATCAAATTAATGGTATTGAATGAATAACTATTGCATTAATATTTACAATAAAAATAAAATAATTAATTTTATAGATCAAAGAAACAAAGGAATACACAGTTATTGGAAAATAAAAATTATTGAAATAAATAAAAAATATATAATAATAATAAAATACATATATTGTATCAATTAAATAAAACATCATTATAATTTAATTAGTAATTCAGTGATTATAACAGTGGCGTAACAAAAAAATGTGGGCCCCACCACAAAAATAAAAAATGGGCCCCTAAATTTTGTTTAGGTAGGTACCTATATTAGTTTAGAACCATTAATCTGATATAGGTAAATCACTTATTTTAATTACAATTTTGTTATGATATGATAAAAAAATAGCAATATTTATTTAATATTACCATTGATTATATACTATAGATTTCTCACTGGCCGATTTTCGATGGCATGAAAAAAAAAAATACTTATAGAGGGCAATTCAAAACTAATAATAATAAAATCTTATTTAATTTTGGCCGTTGTGTCGTAATGGTAGAGACGGGTGTGTATCGATCAGTATATTATGCGGACACCGTACACGAAAAATTATCATATTTTATTTAATTCATTTAGATTATTTTGTTCGGTGGTGTAACATAGAATTTTCAATTATACAAGAATATACTAGACAGTCAGAAAAATTCACATTATATTTTTTATTTCGAGAAAATTATTTATTATAATATAATTTTGAATCTCATAAGGACATTTAAGTGTCCTTAAGATTCCCCAGGGCAGGTTAGTTACATAGAGTAATAAAACGTTTAATCGTTAATACTGTTATTACTTACTGTAAGTATTTCCACATGATATGTTATACATATTATATATTACCATACAATTACGAACATATTTAATAATAACAATATATTATTATAAATATAGATTAACACTAATTTAATTTGATAAAATAATTATTCAATTTCTTCACGGGGATTAATTTTACTCTAATCAAAAGCCCCAAATTAACGTGGGCCCCCCGCAATGCAGGGTCTGCGGGCCACTGGATTATAACTATACAATGTTTGATTATAATTAGCAATACAAATAAATGATAAGTACTTACTTAAGAACATTTTTATCAATACAATTTATAAAGATTCTTAGATTTATAAATAATAAAAACAAAATTTATATTCTAAAAAATTATTTAACGAAATTATCAAATATTAAATTATTATTATTATTACTTTATTACTGTTAAACATAATACTTTCGTAAAACTTATACGTGCCGTACGTATTTTATAAATAGTATTTTATAAACCTAACCATGCTCATAATAAAAAAAAAAACTTATATAAAATATTTATTATTCGATGAAGTCTAATCAAAATATTTTTTTTTACTTTCATTAAAATACCATTTTAATAAAAATCATATGTTTATATGCTCAAAATGTTTACTGTTCTTTATTCTATTATAATAATTATATAAATATTATAATAATTAATGGTAAATTTTGTTATTGAATTTTTTCTGTAGAGAGTCCGCAAAAATGTTTAGTACAGAGCCCAACATTTGATGGTCTGGACCTTATATGTTAAAATAAATTTACAATTCATTACGAATTCGTGCACTGTATTATGCGTATATACGAAGCATTTGAATTGGTTCCCAAGCGTCCCAACTTGTTACAACAATTAATCAACTTCTATTATCGCTGCTTATCGCCAGAAATTAACGATTCTCGATTCGATAGAAATTTAACAATAAGGGATGGGCTTGCATTAGAAAATGAAAAAAATTTCTAGTTGATAATTTATTACACTTTGTATTATACATTTTTTATGATACATCATATTATATTTATTTTTTAACAAAAGAAAGAGTATTGTTTATAATAACCACCAACATATGGCATATTTTTTTTTTATTTAAATTTTTTTTTTACACATAGTTATTAACTATAGGTAATTATGATAAATTATAATGTGTTTTCAAACTAGGAGATATACAATGCAACTCAAGACATGATTTCACGGTGAAATAATAAAAACACAGACAAGATAATAAGCTAAATGCATAATTCTTGTTATAAGTGATGACCAATCATTGAAATACCGAAAGGTCATCATTCCAGAACTATGATGTTTGATTTATTGGATTAGATAAGATTAAAAAAACACACCAAAATTATTAAATTTGCGACTTGCATGGGTATGTATACGGGAACTGAATGGGTCGCGGGCGTGAAGTGATGCGCGCCTAATGTATTGCCTATACAACACTCCTAAAAATATAACTGACTTGAACCACATTAAAAAGAGTACATACGAATTGGATTGTAGATTTTTATAAGCCGTTTCTATTTTCCTTCCCATTTTATAAATTATTTAGCTTTGTATACATTATGCATGTTTTTTTTTTTAATTATTTGAATTATGTAATAATACGTATATAATTTTATTTATTTTTATGACAATATGGTTTCATCGTATTTTGTTTATTTTATTGAAATAAAAATATGTAATAAACTATCAACTCTAATCTATTTATTTCATTTCATTTTTTTGCAAATTTTTTCATTTCTATTTTTACGTATGATTCTTACACATGAAAAAATATTAATCTAGTTAATTAATCAATAAATGTATTGATTAACTCATTAATTGATTTCATAAACATCAAATTAAATATTTGTTTAAATTTTATTCAATTCTCCCAGAAAAAAATTGTATTTTTTGTCTTCTAAATATTAATTTAAGAACATGCTTTAATATATCGATTGTTTTTACATATTTTTTTTTCAACTTCATATAATAATATTATATTATTAAAGATATTATCCTTTGTAAGAAGGTGGAACAAGACCTATGCGTATCGAAGCACATCCAATAATACAATGATATAAAATTCAGTCTCTCCATCCGTACTAGTTATCTGTTCATTTTCACATGCCAGTATATTTAAAATTATAAAATTATTGATGGTAAATATCGATCGATAAGCCACTAAAGTGAAGTTTTTCATCTTGCAAGCAACCCATTAGCTTCTACTTTATATACAGCTTTTTCTTTCTGATTATCAACTATACTATGCAAAGCTTTAATTATAAATGCATAAGAATTAAATAAAGCATAGCAAGCATTAAAACGAGCACTCCAGCGAGTTACTGATAAATTGTTTACACTCAGATTGTTCTTTAAATATGTTTTTAAAGTATCCCAACGTGCAGTAGAACAAGAAAAAAAAATTGTATAGTTCCTGGAGAAGCATAAAAACAAAGTAGTAGTACTACAACTTTCTGCTGCACACGTTCCAACTAAGTTAAGAGAAGGCGCGGAACATGGTATATACTCTGCAAATGAATAAAGACTTTTAATTCTTGATTGCAACCCAGAATACTGATCTGACATTCCTTGCATTGTCATAGCTCTGGCCACGACAATTTTTAATTGGTATATTGTGTGAATTAAGAAAATCCATTACAACATTGCTCATTTCTTCAGATTTATGATCACTATTTGGAATGAATATTAAAAATTTTTCTGCAGATACACCACTAGATAAAACATATCTTAATGCAATAACAAGTTGATCAACGTTTGCTATATCAGGTGTAGAATCGACGATTAAAGAATAATACTTGACTATTTTTAATTTTTTTAATATAATTTTATCATTCTTCATCAAAAGTAAAAGATCTTCATAGATTGTGGATGACAAATAAGACGGAGTTCCTTTCCCTCCATTTCCATACTTTTATAAATATTGAGCAATAAAAGAGTCAAATTTAGCAAGTAACTCTAGCATTCCCAAAAAATTCCCATTGTTAATTTTGTTAAATTGTTCATTATCACCTCTGAATGATAAACCTTTTGCACCGAGAAATGTAATTACTTCAACAACTCGATGAAGAACAGCTTTCCAGTAATTAATTTTATCAGTGACTTGTGTTGCCAACTGAGTGTCGATTCTACCTATATCACTTTGCAATGTAATAAAATTAAATATATTATTTTTATGTGCCAAAGAATTTTCGTGCCAGGAAATAACTAAATGTCCATTTTTCTAATCATTAAATCCAGCATCTTCCAGTTGAGTACTACATCTAAATAATTTGCATGGAGCACAAAACAATACAAATTTTGAAATTGAATAAACAAGCCATTTCCATGAAACATTTTCTCCGTTTTTTCGGTTTTTCGTAAAGATTGATTTACTACAATAACGATCATAATCAGAATAAGTTCATTTTGATGAGGTAAAATCTACATCAATGTTCTGATCATATACAAATTTTGCAATATAGTTACGACATATATTACTATTTGTCTAATCTGCTGGATCTTTAAAATTATTTTTATTATTCTGTGTAAGAGGATTAAGAATGACATTTAGCACGGATTTTTTTGATTCGTCATTTACATCAACAACTGATCGATCTGAGAAAGATGCAGTTAGTTGAATAGAAATAGAAGTAGTAGAACAATTATTAGTAATATTTATATCGTTTGAACATCCTAGTTTATTATCTTCAACACAACTAGGGGTAATATTGTTTATTTGTTTGAAAAAATAATTTAACGTAGGTATTTTACTATGATAAATAAAATCGCTTTTATTTCTTTCTTATCATTTGCACGTTTTCTCGCTTGTACTCCAATATGTCGTTTCTGATCTATTTTTACAAAAATATCGAACACTAAAATAATATATAAAACGCACTACTCGCTCTAATGTAAAACCTTTATAATAAATTTACAAGTTACAATCAGTGTTAAGAATAGATAATGCAAAATTTATCTAGATAAAAATGAAAGATAATATGTCAAAATTCATCTAAATAAAGATAAAAGATAATTTAATTTTTATCTAGATAAAAATTAAAATATTTTCAAAAAATGTTATTTTTTGGTCAATATTTCATATTATAATAATATCTATGAAGACTGAATTATAATCATTATTATCAATAGGTACCTAGGTTTTAATGTTTATTGTAGTAATGTATTGTACCATTAAGCAGTATTTTTATATAATGTACAATATGATAGTTAATCACTAAAATCTAAAATATTACATTAAAAAAAAAAAAAAATGAAAATTGCTCTGTACGTATCAGGATGAATACAGAATATATAAAAAATTATTTTATGTTAATAATATTGTTTTCAATATAATATTAATTTGGTGATTTTTTGTTATTCTATAAGTAGTTAAGACTTTACGGGTTCCAAGAGTGAAGTAATAACTATTCAGCGTATGAGAGACATGTATATACTAAAATCAAATACCATGTTTGGAACTTCCGTGAAAAAATAAGAAATTAAGTTTAAAAATACCAAAAATATTTTCCCGGCATGAAAATACAAAAAAAATGTCATACCAAGAAATAATAATTAGTTATTAATAATACACAAATTATGATTATAAATACAAAATGTATATGTATAAAAAAAATTCAGGTTATTTACAGAATTTATAATTCAAGAACGGCTGGACCGATTTTAATGATCTCTGATTTGTTGGATTCATCTCCGTACAAGAATAAAAATAACTCTAATCTTGGCAAAAATACAGATAATTATCTAGATAAGTAAAAATGTTATCTTAGATAAGTAATTAGGTAACTTAGCGTTATTTATCTAGATAAGATAAAAGATGACAAAAAATCTATCTAGATAATTTATCTAGATAAGTCCCAACACTGGTTACAATAGTGTTAACAAAATATACGTACGATCAAACGAACGAATTTTCGATGCACGTATATATAGCATGTACATAGCATGTATATTGTATACTAATACCACAGATTATATTAAATATTATTTATATAATCTGTGCTAATACTATCATCATACTAATACGTCAGCGGCGAGCTACGACGAATATAAACAGCGCACTCGCGTTGTCTGCCGTCTGCGGCTCCACACATGTAATCGGTGTGCGACCAGTTCAGAAAAATAACAATCTAAAAATAAAACGTGGTTTAGAAGACCGCACGACAAAACGCAATAATTATTATTTATTACTATTTCAAATTTCCGATATTTAAATAAAAATAGTATGAGGTTAGTATGCGGTGCCCGTGCCCCTAAATCCGTAATTGTGTAGACTGACACTGCTTATGCCTTAAACCGGGCCTGTCGATAAGGTAGATGTTTGAATAAAAATTATAGTAATATATATATATATATATATATATATATATATATAGTATTCTATGGTAATATCAACGATTATTGAAAAACTATAAAACAGGTTTCGGCGCGCAAAATGAAGTTTGATGAGTATTTCATCTCACTGCGCGACAGTGGCCTAACCTTTAAGAAAATTCTCTGTGCATTCGCGATTGTTGTAGACTTGAATACTTCGAAAAACATGATACGTATCTTATAAATGTAAAATAATGCGCTTGGAGAAAATTAAATTTAGAAAAAAATTAGCTTTAAATTATTTAACGTTCGACAACGTTTTTTGGAAGATGCATGTCTTATAAGCTCCAAGCGGTGAGTATGGTAAATAATAACAAATATAAATTAAATAATACGTTCAACTATGACCAATGTGCTCAGTAGGGTAATTGGTTAGTCTACATTTAGACTTTATTCATTATAAACATTTAAAAACATTAAAATATTATATAAGCTAAACAAAATGTCGTGATCTGATATTACAATAAAGAAATTATTATTTTGCAACCTATTCAAAACCATAAAAAAGGTTCATCATCTACGACAACTCGGACAAGTGATACGTAGATTATTTTAAAAATTGATCATTATTAAAATTAAATTTTAAATGTACCAGGTTTTAAGACCTTTGAATAAGAACCCTTTGATTATAATTACAGAACGAAAATCATCATTCAACATAAACTTGTACGAAGTAATAGAAACATATTAATCACTAAATCTGAAAATTGAAAAAGCGTAGAGCTTTATATTGCACAGTACTATAAAAAATAGATTTACTATATTTACTGTATAGTGAAGTATATTAAAATAGTATTGAATTAAAGGACGTTGTAATTATTAAAAAAAAAAAATATGACAATTATTAGCGTAATACAATTAATGAGTACGAGTATAATTAAAAATTTAATTTTAATTTGCTTCCCTATTATAAATATTAATATTCTTATCTAAAATCAACAATGTATCAACATTAAAAAATATTTTACTCAAGAAATCGATCAATTATATTTTACAATTACTTTTTTAGACTATTTCCTGGTAAAATATGTATACACCAAAATGAACCAAAATGTTTTCTATTGTATTATTTGAATATAAAAATAACGGCAGGCCTTAAGTCAAAATCTCAATAAAACAAAACAGTTAAATGTAAAAACAGTTTTTGCATTTCATTCTTCCAGATGGGTATTTTAATACAGTAAAATATTACGTATGCAGGGCCATATTTAAGATTTCTCTTAACAACATTTTCCTCCTTTCTTCCCTGAAGTGTATAACCAAAAATAAGTATTTCCAATTGAAAAGCCACTCGCATTTCATTTTCCCAATTTCAGTAAACTATTACACAATATTTGTAATTAATATCAAATCCAAAATAATAACTGAATTAAAGTTATAGAAAATTGTTTTTTTATAAGACTGATGGTGGTACCCTTAAAGAATTTAGTACCTTTCGGTCTAAATGTTCCATCCTCATACAAGTCAACATTAAACCAATATCTATACATCAGTAAAATACTCTTAAATAGATATACATTTTTACGTAAATTATATAAATAATATAAATGATTTTATTGTATAATATTTAATTTTTATATAATTTTATTTATTCATAAATAATTTTCATTGAGAATGCGAAAAAATCAACTTGATTCTATTTAGAATTTTTGTAAAAATATTACCGCCCCTTAAATATTTCAGGAGGGGCTATTTCCTCTTCGAACCACCCCTTAAATACGGCCCTGTCTGTGATGAGTGATTATTACGTGCGATTATTTCACTATTAAAATAATTTGTCGATTTGAGTTATCTGTGCGGGTGTTCAACATTTTCCAGCTTCAGTGCATCAAATCCTGTGTTCGTTTCACTTCATTTCAACTTCATTACACTTTTACGTTAGTTGTAAGTGCACAGTTCTTAAGCATTCGAATACCTGCTACAAAACGAGTAATTGCTATTTTTTTTGGCTTTCCAGACTGCCCTGTTGCGTTGATCGGCTTTCGAACATTTGTAACTCCGAGAGCCCTTCCTTAAACAAGTAGGAAGGTAATCAACCCATAATACATACATACCATATATCTCATCCCCTCGCTTTATATATTCCATCATTACATTCTATTCTATTACTTTATTTTATTTTAATATTTGTATTTTCAGGTTATTATAATTGTATAGTTTATACATTAAAACAAGCAAATTATAATTTTTTTTTACATAATATAGATATTTGTATCAGAGTGAAATAATACATAATTTATCATTTTTTAAGGTTTGTATTTAAGAAAGAGATTATTTTATTAAATTTAAATTAAATTATTTTTAGTTCCTATTAATCAAGATTAAATTACTATTTTTTATATTTTTATAGATAATATGTATAATAAAAAAAAATATTGTATAGGTATTAAAAATATTAATAATATAATTCCAAGAGTATTTGAACTTCAAATTTTGAAGTGTTATGTATAACAAATAATTTCAACTGTTAGTCATCATCGGGTTATAAAAGCACACTGAATAATAAAAAATAAATAAAGAATATAAATTAAAAATATATTAAATTTACATGGTATCAATTATAATAGAAAATTAATAAACAATGATTAAGTAAAATATATTATAGATGTATTGTACATAGAAATTATTAATCGCTATCAAGTAAAACTTTGTAAGTATCATTTTTTTATTTTTTTAAATAGGTTTGTATATTTAATATATTATAATAATGGAATAATTATATTATTACATTATATTATTAAAAAGAGTGTTTAGAATTAATTATATATAAAACAAAATAATGTAAAATGCCAGTCCACATATTATCTTTTACAACATATTTATATCAAGAAAGACACACTGCTATAGTTATATATTCCTACCATATTAAAGTATCGTGAAAACTATATTTTTAAGTTGTTTAAACAGAATCATAGATGAAAATGAAATAACATTTTTTAATGATAATATAATGAAACTGTAACATTTAAATAATGATATAATTAAAAATAAATATTTTTTTGCCATTGAAAAAATTTTTTTTATTATCTAGAATGTTCATGAAATCAAAGTTTGGTATTGGATTAAAGCATTTTTTGGCTTTGAAAATTCAAAACTTATTTAATAAAAAAGATTGAAAAAATTATACGTAAATAAAAGGTTAAACCAGAAGGAAATATGTGAAGTTAATAAATGTGATCAACTCAGAATTCAGCTAGTTAACTCGTTAACCCCCAGACTTGAATATTATATGTATGGAAAACTTGATCGTGATCGGTTTGGTTCACGTACGTGTAAACGGCATGGTGGATAGACAACACAACTCGAAGACGGCGACGTCGATTGTTGTACGCCCAAGATTTTGCACAATAGGCAATTAGTTGTACATTATAGCGACTCGCTCGAGTACAGGGCGCTGAATCCGACGTGTGTAAGGTATCCAAAATAAACGATTATTTTTACCGGCGTTCTTATAAATCTTTATTTCATTAATTATTCAATTTTAATCATGCAAAATAACTGTTTGAGTTGTACGTCCATCACAAGTGATTCGAATATGGTTAATGATGTTTAAGAAGCGTGTGTTTTATTAAATGTTACCAAAACAAAAATGCAAAGCTAATAACTGCGATGAATGATGTGAGAATCGTGTGAGAGGGCACGACGCAGGGCCGTAGCAATGGGCGGGATTGAAGTGCCTACGCTTCGGGTGCAATTCCTGGGAGGGCGCAAAAATGAAAAATTTGCAATTTAATTGTTACTAAGGGCCGGATATAATTGCATTAAAAATATCTTAAAATTGCACTAAAAAGATGCCAAAATTGCAATGAAATACATTAAAATTACGTAGTAAAATCATATCAATTATATAATCATTAATTACTTACTTAAATAATATTATGAACATTAATATAATATTTACAAAATATATTATTTTTCTGAATTAAAATTTATAATTATATACATCTCATTGTGTTCTTGAAAATTGTAGAGTCTGTTACTTAAAATATGTTTATATAATGAAAAAGTACGTTCAACGTCGACACTTGTTTTCGATGCATATTTAAAATAGATCAAAAATTGGGTGTTATATCTAAATAAACATTTTGATTTCCTGTTATAATCTCAGAGTAAGTTGTAATAGTTTTATATCTTTCATTTTTTTCTAAGACTTATATTAATTTATCTTTAACTATTTTTTCATTAGGACCGGGAATATTTATAGAAATATTTATACTAAATATTTTTATTTAGTTAGTATTTGTTAAGTATTTATTTATTTATTTATTTAGTATTTATACTAAATATGTTTAAACTATTAAGTAATAGACTATTTGATTCTTCTAAACTTGTGAGTTTTGTGGATAAGCCAGATGAATATAATTTTAAAAATTCTAAACTGCATATAACTACATGTAAAAATGTACGTCGCAGTTATATTTTTTTTTGTAAAATCACTTTGGAAATAATAATTTGTATATTTTATCACGTGAAGTATACAAAAATTGCAATAATTGCAAAAAATTTGCATTATTAAATTAAATAGGAAGACTGTAATTAATCTGATTCGTATACATATTTGATTTACTGGGTATCAATAAAAAGTCGCAATATCAATTAAATCTGCTCTTTAGTTATAACTTATTACTTATAAGTAAAAGTAATATTATGTATTTATGTATTTACTTATATAACTTATAAATATTATTATGTTATACCTATGTACCTACTTATAATTACGATGTATACTTATACTTTAATAAGTTATTGATTTAAATAAAATTAACAAATGCTTATATAGCTATAAAGAAAAATCTTTATTTATATTTCGTTTATAAAAAATACTCAGTTTTTTGTGTGTTTTTTTTTTATAAATTAAAATAATTAAGGACGCATTTTGAAGTTTTGCCCAGGGCGCAATATTTGGTTTCTACGGTCCTGGCACGACGGAAGTAGTTTATTTCGAACGCGTCAACCGGAACGAAATGAACGCGCTGAATACAAAAAAAAACTCCGTACTTAAGGATGCAATATCCACGGTTTATTTTACCGCGTTAACATGGTTGACGAAATTTACCCAATCGATTGGATACTTGGAAGTATATTACCGTCGTCACTTTCGTAATTAAGCACACTTGTAGCGCACTATTGTAATTTTTTGTATGTCTTTTCATGCGTGCGTATTTTTTTTCTATTAAAAAAAAAAAATTGAACAAATTTGAACCATTATAATTCGCATGCATATTCTTCCATGATCGAATTTATAAGCAGTCCGACACGTTGGACAGAAATCGAATACAATTCGTCAATTGTAAATATATTGCATAAATATTGCGAAAGGTATTTATCCGTTCTCAAAAAGTATTATTACGACTACTGATCTTCATTACATAGTTCAAAACATGAACTATGGCCATTCGATGGCCAAAGACAAATTCTTCTACAAATCTACCGTTGAACTATTAATGCGTTCCTTTTTCAAGATTTCATCGCAAAGCACGTCGCAAATTATAAAAATTCCTTTTTTCCATTGAATCTATACTGTCTCGTTAAAATCATTAAAAAAAGAACACTACCTACACTCCCGTTAAATGTTAAAACCAACAACATTCAAAGGATGCGAAATTCGCAAGCGTGGAGGAATGTGAACACAAATTTGTGTATGATCGTATGCGCGTTCTTGCATTACGTGTATTTAGTTTAGAACGCGAGAAGAAATAACAACGATGCGAACTCGGCCGTGCAACAGGTCTCGGGTAACATTATTATGGCAACCTGGTGCGGTCGCTACAACACGCGTGCACGTTGATCTGTCCGAATAACAACGCGTCGTTGCAGTCACCCGTTTCATTTGTTCGCGAATACAGAGCCGCGGAAAACGTCCACCGGAAATCGTTCCAGTGTTATTGTCCGACACAGTTATCCCGTTGGTGTGCATTGAATTCGACCGCGTGCGATGAAAACTTTAGTAAGCTTTAGCCGCGCCTTCCCCTCTGCGCTCTCCACACGCACAAAGCCGTATGCGATTTAAATCGCTTTCGTTTCACTTCTCCGTCACCACTCATCAACTCTCTTCTATCCTCTCTACTCTTCCCCCGGCGTAATCCGTCTTCTCGATTGTCGTCCTTTTTTCGTTATCTCTCTTCCATTGATTGATTTTCTCGACGCATGTTTCCACGTGTAGATTATTTCGTACGTTGTTGTTGTATGTGTTGTACGACGCGGATTCCGTAGTAATGCACGCGTTTTTTATTTATTTTTTTTATAGAAACTAAAAGATTGCGGCTGCGATGACATCGTTAAGACCACAATACAGGGTACGATATCGTTTCGATTCAAATGCGGAATTCACGTAGACTTCACGCTCGATGGATCCGTGAGGGTTGTCAATCAAATGGTAAGCAACAGTATAAATAAAAATAAAATCTCTCTTCGACCGATTAAACTCGTCACTCGGATCATCCGATGTGTTCGCAGGCCAACGCCGTGGCAGCGGTAAATGCATATGGTAACATATCGGCCATCATGCACCCGGTCGGCTTCATGTACAAGAAAGATGACACCGTGTATGTGCAAGCAAACGACATTCACGAAGGAAATCACAAGTATGTGTGACACGATTTTAGACACGAAGCGCGTTTTATTCCACATTTACGCCGCGGTGGTTTTCGAACACCACAACAATCGGATCTCAAAAAAAACGCTAGTCCAGTTTCTTCGCGGTATCTGTTGAAACTGGATTATGAATATTAGTAGTTTTCATCTGTTTTCGGTTTCTCGTCACGTTTTCTCGTGAAACATTGCGTGACCGTACAGGTGTATAATTACAACAATACTGTAATCACGCCTAATAGTCTCTCTAACACGTTTGTTACAACTGGGCTCGTTGTTTCAGTAACTCTTCGATAACTAACTTTTAAGCGCGCGCGTTCTAGAGTCGGTCATTTGTTTTGAGATTTTCCCCTAGTTATGTTCATGTTCTGATAGGTTTCCAAAACGACATTTTATCAAATTAATCTGACAGGTGTTAAGATAATATAGCGCAATCTCCTCGATTTAAAATTAAAAACTTGTATTTATATCAAGTTATACGTCTTCAATAAATACTTATAATTTCTATCATTTTGTCAACGATATAATTGCATTGTATTATAACAATAATAATAACACGTCGACGTATGGTCGTAATTGACCACGAATCCAATCCAACTATGTATGCTCGAAAACTATTTAACTGTTGTTACTTTCCATTCTGAAATATTCATATTGTGTAAAAAAGTTTAGTACCTGTGTATTGATTTTAAGCCCAACAGTTGCGTTTCGATTATTTTCGGAAGTTTTCGAATACCGCCGAATGCAGGAATCGATATTATTTTCCTGATGCGAATAACACGGATAGTAGTCTTAATGGCACAAAATAGCTAAGACCAAATGTAGAGCTTGAACGGAAGGTTCTAGTGTACGTTTAGGTTTGCGATTCTAGCGGAATGATATAACCTGCGTTCTTCAAGGTTAGCGAAAATAAGGTCGTCTGGCATCCACTTCAAAGCCGTCAACAGCCCGTTGGTGTACCTGGTGGACGAGGCGGGCGTGCGGACGAATTTCTCGGAAAACTTCATGGACATGGACTACGACTTCACGCTGGACGTGCTGTACAATGACTGCCGACACGGGGAGATGTACATGGACGAGTGTGACGACCTGTTGTCGGAAATGAGAAGCTCATTGTCCTTATCTGGCACGCAGTGGAAAATCTTCGACCTGGTCATCATACAGGAAAACGTTCACGGCCTTATCAGGTACCCATGCGATTGAAAAATATATTATCCACCGTCAGTTAAATGACCATATTAGGCAATGTCGTACACACTACACACACACGCACGCATGCGCATACACACATTTGAGCTAATTTGCAGGATTCGCTGTCAATATTTGCCCCGTGATTTATAATTATCTCATCTTGCGTTCGCGTGCTGTACGTTACAATATTTACTACAGCACCGTTTTCCATTGAACTAAATATTGCGTTGTACATAACGCGACTGTTTCATTCTCAACCCGTTTGACACGGATCGAAGTATACGCAAACGTTTGTAATTATTATGACGTGATGATGCTCGGAATGCTCGGATATTCGCATTCGTGTATTGTAACATACATTCGACATACATCGAGTACATTTTGGCTCTTTCACACGAAGTTCCCTGTAAAATACCACCATGGTCGGGCCACCATAGTGGCAATACTCGCAGAAGCACTACTATGTTTCAATGAAGGTTGTGTTAATATTATCATGAAATCAAAATTAAATTTAGTTCGGTTTCATTATAGAAGAGCACGTCTGACATAATATGTTAATATATTATATTAAATATGATAGGTACCATATTCATCAATGACCATTGACGATATTTTATTATAATTATTAATATATAATAAAACTTTGCTTTTTAAAATAGATAACTTAGTCCCAAGGGGGGGGAGCTAATACCCCTTTAGTCACCCCCTTAAACCCGCCCGTGTATACGGTATCGATATTGTTGGCCAATACTAATGTACATATAATGTTTGTGTTTTACTTCCTTGCGAGACATCCAGTCATATACGAATATATACCTACACTGACCTGAACTTGTTTTGATTTCACGATGAAGTCATAAATTCTATTATTATTCTGACATGTGCATGCGAAACGAGTCGCACCTTTCACGTGTCACGTCTAGACAACACGTAGTGACAAATAAAAATAATAATCTGATAATAATTAGTTCGCGTTTCTCACGCGATCGAACCGTACGGCGAAGCGTGGTTAAAAACAAAACGAATAATCGTCCGAACCCAAAACCTTCATCACGAAGACGACCGGGGTCTCCTTAAGGGCATTCCGTGAGCCTTAAAAAACAATATTATTTCGTTACAACTTTTCAACAATTGCTATTCGATCGAAAACAATATACGCAAACGTAATGCAATTAACTTTTTTTCATAAATTTTCCGTCTACGCTATCGATCGACGATTCGAGGACGACGAACAATGTACTATACGTGTGCTGTTTGCTTATACAGAGTGATCAAAGAAGGGCAGAACAGTTTTGAAATCCGTGCCTCGGCCACCGCCGGGACAATCAACTTGTACTCAAACGAAGTAGACTGCACGGCGTCGCACGGCTCCAATCATCATTTCTTCGTTAAGAGGAACAAGAGCCGCATACACTTTGAGGTGATGAAAAAGTTCATGGTACGTTTCGGCGGTTATCACACCGGTTTCAACGAGCACAACGAAATATCTTTCTTCTGACGCGCGTCCACGGAGCAATAGTTACGTCTAATAATAATAATGTTCGTTGTTGATGCGTTCGACGGTTAGTCATAATTCATAATAACATATTCATGTAAATAAATATACGTATATATATGTGTGTGTGTGTGTGTGTATGTGTAAATAAAAATTTATTTATTTTATATCACTTGATAAAATTAGTTAGGTACCTACAAATTATGTATGTGTTCCGCGCCAGAGTTGAATTAATGTTAAAAAAAAATAATACAAAATATCCGACGTTACGATAACGCGTAAATATTTGTATCAGTTCATGAAATTAATGAAAATAACTTGTTGTATCATATATAACAGGGGTGGGCAACTGACGACCTGTGAGCCTTTTTTATCTGACCCGTGCTATATCTTAAAATTACAACATACAATTTTAAAGTATATCGTTTATACTTATCGAAATAATAATTGTTATCTAGTATTAAACATCGTCAAATGTATACATTTCATATGTATGTATAATTATAGCTTTCAACCATAGCTGTTTGTACCGAACTATTTAGTTTATTCCTATCGTGCTATCGTGTGTGTTAAAATTATTATTACCCTATATATAAATGCTAATTAAAATTCATATTTTGAATAACCTTTTTTTTATAGCTCTGTCTCTTTTAATTTTTTAAAAATTGGCCCTTTAATAACTTTGAGTTGCCCATCCCTGATATATAACATAGGCATTTAAAATGTATTACAGGGTCGGTCGGTTTGTAAGCCTCAGAACTCATGTTCGATTATTTGGAAAATAACGTGTAAACGTGTAAATTAAAAAATTAAGGTTTTCGGTGAATTTTATGTTTCGTGTTTTCAGGATAATTGATTAATATATCAATTGGAAAAACGAACGCGGTTACAATGAAATCATAAATACGTAAATCAGGAACAGGTGGAAATATTTTTATTTTGTAGTTTTTGTTATTTCAAAAGATTATGAAATTAAAAAGTTTAATCATCGCAATTAAAAAAAAAAACAAAACAATAAAATGATCATCATAACATTTTTCAAAAACAACTGTATGAAAAATTTTTTTTTTAAACATTTTGTTTTAAGCTATACGTTTATTTTTAAAAAAAAAATAAATCAAGTTTTTAATCGTATGAATTGTTAAAGAAATAAGATATCAACTGATCCCAAGTAGTCAATTCTCATAGGATATTTTCTAAAATAGTTGATACTCGAATGATATTTAATTAAAACACGATACTGTAAGATTAATAAGTATACTACCCATTTAGTGGATACTTATATATTTTATAACCATGACCTTTTCTTATCGAGTAAGTAAACGTTCCAATTTTCTTATGTCATAAAAGCACAACGGAATATTTAACCTTTTTTCTTTGACAGGCTTCCAAATACATAATATAAGGTTTGAAAATAAACAAAACAACATACACGAATAATACAAATTTACATTTTCAATACACTTTTTATTAACTTCGAAGTCTAATTTCCAGCGTACAAATTGAATACAATGTATTATATATATCGTTGCCTCAGTTTAAGACTGCAATAACTCAAAACAACTATTATTGAGATATCGACATTTCAGTTGAAAACTTCAATAATTCAAAAATATTCAGAATTGAATTATTTACGTGATATTATTTGCAAAATTACGACGATTTCGATTTTATAACGCAATAACTTTTAGTTGCATTATTCACCTCTAGAGGTCATTTATTTCATTCTAGAACTAGTAGTTTCATAACTTGAGTTATTGCAGTCTTGAACTGAGGCATCGATATAATATAGACATTTAAATTTAAGACGAGCATACAGCGCGTAATGTACTGAAATCCTTCCACGCGATATCGCTTGTTACCCGTTTCGCCCAGAAATCTCAAAATACTTTTGAATAATCGGTCAAAAGAATGATAATAGTGTTCAAAGATCAAATTCATTTTGTATGTGCATGTGTAAAAATGCATTATACGCCACACACGAAAATCCTTGGAGCCGATTTCATTTTATTTATTTTATTTTATTTTATTTTATTTTATTTTCATTTTACGACTAGCAATTTTTAATTTCAATCGATTCTCGTTATAAACATAACACTATATGGGTATTAATAATACACACACACGCGCGCGCGTGCGCGCGCATGACACTATAAGGCCGGCCGCACACCAAAAGAGCAAAACTGCTTAAAGCAGACTGAGGCAGCTTTATTATGACTAATTAAAAATAGAACACATGTAATTCAGTGAAACCCGCACACTGATAAGTCATAGTCAAAACAAAACATTTTTACTCTTCAGTCAATTCTAGTCATGACTAATCGTGTTTTATCGAAATAGAACATGCTCTATTCCGTCAGTCAAAACAAAACAATTTTTATTAGTCAAACCGCCAGTTTGACCGGTATCAGATGGTTAACTAGTTGGATACCACTGACGTTGCAGAACGATCGTTCATTAATATAATTAATTATAATTCATAATTAATAATAATATATGATCACTGTTTTTATATATTATATATATATTTTATATATTATATTATATATTTTCAAATTTTTTTATACATTATACATTTTGTATACCTATATAAATTTTTAAATTTTAAATCATCATTACGTAATTCACGTAAAAAACATTTGATTAAATTATTTGTTGTACGTTTTTTATTTAAAGGATGAACCCACATTCTTTTTTGTTTTTCATCCTCTTCGATATTTAACAACAAAGACCACAAAATAGGAACAATAACTTCTTCTTCGTCGGAAGACATTTTGGTGACTGAAATACTATACTACAATTTTATGACTAACGATGACTTACACAGTTTTGCTTTTTTGGTGTACGACCGACCAAAACAAACTGTTTTTAGTTGTTTTCAGACAAAAATGACTAACGATGACTAAAGCAGTTTTGCTTTTTTGGTGTGCGGCCGGCCTAATATATCTTTCTCGTAAACCACACATTAAAATATATCGAGATAATCGATACCGTTTTTTCGATCACGTTCTCGAAAATTGTATTCTCAATAAACCAATACGCGTAGGTTCACGAAAACCCCTTGATAAGCATTGCATTGCATTCGTGCGCAACGTGGTATAACATTAAACAATTAAAGTTGATATTACTTTTTACCGTCTATTAGGAACGACGTTCACTTCGATATTCTTTGCGTGTAACAGTCCGTTCGATTAAATAACAATTACATATTATTAAAACACACCGTACATATCGTCTGGCACGAATAAATAACACCACCACTGGTTGTTTGTATAATATGTTTTTATTGATAAATGTAGTGGTTAAACTAAAAAGTATTAGCAGAATAAATACATCAAGACGAATAAACAACTAGAATAATATTATGTTATAAAGTAACATTGATAATAATATAAAATAAACTATGGTATAATATTTACGTAAAAAATAATATTTCAAAAACCGCCTGGGTACCTCAGCGAAGAGCAGTCGTACATAGTACAAAAATAATTATTGATATTTTTTAATAATATTAAAACTATGACCATCGTAATTCATATTTTGGACATTCGTAAGATTCCGTATTTGAAAATTTGAAGACAACGAATGAGATGTTAAAAATATTTTACTGGTAAAAACATTGCGTGAAACGATTAATACTAATGATATAATATCAATTATGATGATTTTTTGAGAACACGATGTGCTTTTGACTGGAATACCCGACGTCGACCTTAACAAAAACTTAAGTAGTATAAATAGTTGTGAAAATTATGAGATGCATAAAAAATAACATTATTCGAGCGCAATTATCATTCGTCGTTTGTACACCGAGCGTGTCACAAGTATTTTTTATTCAACGCGTGCCACTAAAAATCGATACTTATTGTTTAAACGCACTCAAAAAAAAGAAAAAAAGCCCTTTGTGACATAAAAAAAAACATTCAATCCGTGATCAACGTTAATTCCAAAACTGTACCTAAACTCTACTTACGATAATAATAAAAAAAAAAATATTATGTTGTGTGTAAATAATGCATGAGTAAACATCCTTGTGTAAAAACATAACGTAAAAATATATTACGTTATATTACGTGTGATCAAGTTTTAAAACTAGTAAATATAAAATATAGATAAAAAAAAAAAGACAAAAATACATTCGATTACAATATGAGATAGGTAAAGAAGAACGTGTTATATTAGTACATAATGTTCGAATTTTGTTAATATATGCACGAAGAAGTCTTACAGAATTTAATGTGACAATTAATATTTCAATTAGAAAACCGTTAAAATAAAAACGATCAGTTTTTAGTTTGAATTAATTTGAATCGAATAGGAGGGGCAATTGATGTAATAATTTTTAAAATTCAAACGAGTATCTAAATATTTGTAAACCGTAACCGAAAAGTTCACTAAGACTGTCGTGGAAATTCGAAAGACTATAAATTGCAATATACTACGAGTTCGAACGTTTAGCGGCACAAGGAAAGGTGGAACTCTTGGTAATTTTCTTATTATTATGTTACGTTTTTTTAACACAATGAAATTATGATCGTTTACCGGCAGATTTGAATATTTCGAATAAAAAATATTGTAATATTAATAGTAAAATAATATTAATAATAGTAATAATAATAATTATCCAACGACGAAAAAAGCACGTCGCACGCATTAACTTTCATTCGCACACGCATCAGTGACAGAAAGCTTCATTTTTGAATACGTTCTGACCCGCTGTAGAGAAAGTGATGCTGCGCAGGCTCCGAGACCGTTCGAATAACGAAGGATCCGTGTAGATCGGCTCGCTTGGATCCTCGAACCCTTTTCCAACGCCACTACCGCCGCCGCCACCAACCACCACTGCCGTCGTTAAGTTGGTAGATCCACTACCCATTGGTTCCACGGGTGCTCTGAGCAAAAAGATAAAAACGTTTAGACACAATATTTGATAAAAAGTTCCGAAATTCGCGGGTGGACAACGAACGATCAACAAGATATATAGCCAACGGAAAAAACGAAAGCCCGAGAAAATATTACTACGCAGTCTTGTAGTACGCATTACAGTCGGGGCTTCTGATCTTTTTGATATTACTTAAACACTAATTAAAAATGTTATTTTATTTTATTACTTTTATTATTTTTTTGATCAAGTCAAAAAAAACGTTTTCGGCTCAATTATAGGTATTACAAAATATGAATCATAATACGGTTAAGTTTAATCAGTTGTGGTACAATAACTACTTACGTTTTTTATTTATTTTATAAGTGTTTAAATAATATTACATTATTCTATTCATCCAAATATTTCTGAAATTAAAATTGTAATTTAATAATATTCACACGAAAAATGCAAAGCATATATGCCGATGCATAGTTAGGGAAGTGAAAATTTTATTTAATAAAAAATCAATTTAAGAACTAATCTTTAAAATATCGCGTATCACTATTATAATAATTTTTAAATAATTTGTCATCAATTTATGTGCGCTTATACTAATTAGTTAAAATATATGCTCACATAACTTATACAATTTAAATTAAATAATTTACAAAAAATAGATTTTTTTTTCTTTGATAAAACAGAAAAACACAACATTTGAATTCAATAATGAAGACTTAACGAATTTATTTTATAATTTTCTTCGCTTTTAGACTTTTCATATTCTTACTAATTATATATTAAAAAGCATTTTTTTCTTTTTAAAATAAATGAAATATTAATTCAAACGAAAAAAAAACTATGTTAGCAAAGTAATATGAAATCACGGATATCACGGATAGTCTAACTCAAATATTAATATTTAGAGGGACTCACCTTATGTTAAGGAATGGTTTGCGCTTTCCGAATGACATGTTGGAGAAGAAACTGCGACCCGAAAACGACATGCGCCCCGTAGACCCGCTACGTTGAGTCATGTCGCTTAGACCAGAACTGCTATTTGCCATTTCATTCTTGGCCGTCAGCAACCAATAACGCCTGCGAACAGTTACGATACATTTTATGAGACCTGAGAATTCTTTTAATTACCCAAAACTTGTTTATTAACAAACATATGAACCCATTAATTTTTTCTAATCAAAAATTTTTAATGTTTCGAAACGGAATAAAATGTAAGTTCATTAATAATATAAACGAAATTCAAAATCAGTATGTTCAAAAAAATTCGAACTTAACATTTCATTTCTATGAACACTCCCAATGATAAAACTAGTTTATCTATGGTAAATTATTGATTTTATAATATCTAAAATCTATAGTTTAACCCCGATGTATTCATTATTATTTAATATTTAAATAAATAGTTTATATAATATTATATTTAATTTATATTATTTTTCAATTTCTTAATTTTGATTTTTCGTTTCGTATTGGTGTTAGTGAATAACTGTAGTTCAATTTTCCATTTAGATATACACTTTCTAACATTTGGAACAAACTAAATTTAAGCATTATATTAATTTAGTTTACGTAAATGTGAAACAAAAATACTTTTTAGACGTATTTGAATGTATTATTTCTTTTTTATTTTTACGAAGCCGTAGTCTCGATAATAATATTTGTATATTTCTCGACAAATCGAAAATAATATTACCAAAGGATACCTGATGATGATAAATATAATGCGATAAATGGGTATGTGTTTATAGTATTGTGCTCATATATAAGAAAGCATCTTCGCTATGTGGTTTATTTTTTTTTCTAAACACGGTGGTAACGATTTTCTACCAAAAATCAAGATCACGTTTCAAAACAACAAGCGATCTTTATTAACACATGCGGTTTGTGATCTACTTACTTGTAGTAGATGCCGGCGGACATGGACACGGTGATCAAAAGCACCAAGAACATGAACAGTGAGAATACCATGCTGTAATATTCTCTGTTCGTCAAACAAATGCTCTGCGGTGCCGGTTCCGATGTCATCTGTTCCAATGGCATGTCGTACCGGCTCTCGTACACCTAGGAAAACCGGAACGCGTGACAAACTTGTCTACGATAATCCGGTCACCAAACTTACCTCAATCACTTGTCGCACTTTTTCCTCTTCCCCAGGCGTGTTCCCTGTTGAATCGTCCGGTCCGTCCATCGTGGTTCCGTTTTTGTCTGCGGCGCTCGTGTCCCTGCGACGTCTGCCCAGCGACGGTTCCGTTCTGCCCGCGTGCAGTGTACAATACGCCTATGTTCACAGTAAGCACAGCAACGTGTTAATATGATTGTGGATAACCGGAACGAATAAAAAAATCCACTATGTAATAGTGTTACCGGTTGACATCCGTCGCGACACGTCCTGACGGTAGCTTCGAACACCAGGAAATTCGATTCGGGAATCTTGAAAGCGTTAAATCTCGCTTCCAAGCCGTCGCCCTCTCTAGCCTTGTCCAAACCGGGAAACACGAAGTTATCCACTGGACACCTGTGAAAATAATACAATCGTGGGTTATTCATCATACGCTTGCTACAAAATAACACCTATATATGCAGATAACTTCACAGTTTAATTGAAAACGCGACGTGGTCTACCGTAGTTCTATTAATTAGTTGTTTTTTTTCCGATATGAGAGTGAGGTCAAAAAAATGTTGACACCCAACTCCACCACAGGGACTACAATGCGTGTTGTCATTTTAAATAAATATAATACTCATATCATTATAAACATTTGTGGTTATTAAGATAACCGATTTGTTATTACGATTAGTTTGAATTTAGTCGAAACGTTTAAATCTGCGTTTGATAAAATTACAACGAATTTGTATAAGTCATAAGAAAAAAAAAGAAAAACAGTAAAAAATGAAGACTATAGGATTTATTTTGTATTTTATTCTGCTTAATTATCTTTCATCTTATTCTAGATAATTTAATACAATATGGTTCATATCTTTTTTCTAAAACCACATCCAGCCGTAACGATAATACGTAAGCCGTCGGACTCACCCATAACGGTCTATCAACTGAACACTCCTGCCGCTGTACGGATCCCTTGCAATTACATTAGTTGCGAATATGTCACTAGCATAGTTATATCCGTCTTGAGCCTCTAATCGGAAAGTCAGTGGGTCTCCCACGGCGATTGTTTGCGTGGGCCGGCCCTGGAATAGGATCATCAACCGGACACGTGAACTCAACGAGTTCTCCGCCGGTAGGTATTCGATGGGAATCGGACTTCCGGAGCTGAAAACGGAAATCCATTAGACGATATAACCCTAAACAATCGTCCAGGTTTTCAAAATTATCCAAGTTGTACTTACTTTGCGGTCATGTAACTCGAAGTGACGACAGCCTCCCCTGGGCCTCGAAATAAACAAGTCAAATTGTATCGTTTGTCTCTACTGGTCTGTACGTAATCGCTGAACTGCACAACTACGATGTTTGTCATTGTATCTCCGTACTACACAACGTAAAAATAAATATATATATATATATATATATATACGAAACCATTTTTAAGTTGTTTGCGTGTAATATTAATCCTTTTAAAAAACCATCGATAGATCATGAATATGTAATTATAATATATTTCACCGTACTAGCGGCTATGATCAGCCATTTACTGACTCCTTAAATCCCAAACAAAGAGGGAACACACATAGTTTCTAAACGTTATTTAACGTCACTATACTGTGTTGTCTGAAGAGCACTGTTAATCAACGGTGCACATTAATATAGACTTATTAGATATAAAAAAACATTAGCGAAAGTTGTAGCGATTCTTTGATGATTTCCAAAACAATCAATTATAATTTCTATAAAGTACTATGTATTTTAAACCGTTGTAACGAATGTATATACGAATAATTCGGTAAGCAAATTCAATAATTTTGAATGTATGAGAACATTTTTGACACCTTCGGTATGGTAATATAACATTTTCTATCGTATAACGGTTGATAACTATATAGTCTGTGCATCTAGAATAATATAGCGCCGAAGTTGTCGATAACAAAAAAAAAGATACGCAACAAGTTTTGCGGTCAACGTAGTGATCGTGAAATCGTTGAAGCATTTTTGCGTCTATTGTGTGCCCAACGGTAATTAAACACGTCGTCGCTGTACCTCGACAGGACCACCTGTTTTTCCCCACGCTACCGGAAAACATTCACACACATGGTCACGTTCGTTTCGTAATCAAGCGCAATGTCGATCCGAACAACATATAGTTACCCGTTGCGTTCCACAATCCGGATATCCCTGCGCACCGCTGATCCGCAAAACGTTCGCGGTTCCGCCGTTTCCTCTGTAGAAACATCTGTCGTAATAACCGTGCGTGTATATTCGGCCCAGAAATCCTTCCGGTGTGCGTAGCGTGAACTCCATTCCGTCTTCGCTGCACACTTGCGTCACTGCGAATAAATATGCACAACAGCCACGATCAGCTTGGATACAAGTTTTTTCAATCGGTTATGTTGAAAACAAAATCGAATCCGGAAGACGTTTTACACGAGTGCAAACGTAAAGCAAACTTTCGAAAAATATATTCATACAAAAAAAAAAAAAAAAACACTAAAGAAATAAAATATATTATAATTTACTATAAAAATATAGTTTGTGGTGCTTTTTGAAGTGTTTAACGAATCATTTCAGATATTCAGATAGGTATGCATTTATATTATTTAAATATATTTTAAAATTTACGAGTTAAGAAAAATATTTCCATTACGTATTAATAATCACTATTATTTTTGGTTTTAAAAATGGTAATATTTTTCAATATTAATTTCTTTGCTCCTTTTTTACATGATTAACAGTTTATATTTTACATGCCACTATCTAGGTACCTAATTTTTATATCTAACGGGATTTATTCCTAACTGTCATGACTTGAACACACTCGAACATTATAGATTTATTCAATATATCTATATTACAATGGAGAAAAGTTCAAATATTAATATATTTTTTTATCGCACAAATAAAGATCATAATGAATAAATTAATTTAAAAGACCGATGTATAGTGAGCAAAGATTTAGAAAAAATTAAAATAATTAAATAAGTTTTTGAACACAGGGTATAAAGTTAATTGCTGTGCGTTCTGTCGACAACAATATACCTAGGTAATGTAATTATAGACAACACTTACCGTCCAGACATTCTTGACTACTCCGGCTTCCCATGGCGGACTTTTCGTAAAAATCGTAGTCCGGCGCGTTTTCGAAGAACGCCGGATTGCCCATGTCGACGTATCGCGTTTCCTGATCGCTCAACTCGCAATTTTCTCTCTGCGTCCCGTACGGTGCCGTCCTGTCGACGATATAAAAAGTCATTAATAACACAAGACTATTTCTAAAATGTTGGCGAGCATCGCGATCAGCCGATCTTATTGTATCAGCTTGCGTTTTTGATAATTATTACAGTCAAACCTCTATTTAACGAACCGAACGGTTCACAGAAAAAAAATATCGTTAAATATAATTATAATTTCTCTTCTTATGAAACTTGTTTTCACTGCACGAAATATGGCATAGTTATATGCATGATAATTCATACAGTAATAATGTTGTATCGTTAAATATGAAACAATATTTATAATACCATGTTAGTTGGTATATTATTATGTATAGTTTACTTATTATATGAATGTACAGAGTACATTTTTTTTACATTTTTTTCTTCTTTTATCAAAAAACTGTAATTCCTGTTTAAATCCCCAAAACTTTATTTTGCCATATTCTCTAAAACTCAGAAATACAATTAATATTGTTTTGAAATTTTAAAACAATAGAATAGTATGAAACTAATTCGTCAAATAGAATATTTTTCTTTAAACTGAAACGTTTTTCAATAAAAATATTATCGTTCCAAAAAAAGAAATAATTCGTTCTGTAGAAAAGTTTTGTTTAATAGAAGTTCGACAAAATTATCCAATTATCAGTTGACAAGAATATCATTCGGACACAATAACTAAAACTTAATGGGGTCTGATAGACCACTACTCTGTGAAACGCGGTACTCACCTGTAGTTAAATGATCGGCAGTTGAAATCCCTGACCAACGAACACTCGCGCTCGCAATGCGATAACGTGGGCGCAGTGATGAATCGCTTAATCAATCCTCTTGCCATACGCATCCGTACACCCATCTATTAATCCGTGCACATACATTAGACGCCACGTTACGTTTGGTTTTGAACAAGCTAATAAAATACCTGTTTGAATCCGTCAGCGTCGTCACATCGTATATTGAACGGTCTGTTGCCGTCTATTCCGCCGCCGCCCACACCACCGATGCCGCCGCCGCCTATGCCACCGATACCACCACCACCACCGATTCCACCGCCGATACCGCCGCCATAATAACCTGGTACACTAGGAAGTCCCAAAGGAGGTCCTAATGGAGATCCTCCGATTGGAGGTAATCCACCAGGAATAGCCGAAGGTGTGTACGGTGGTATCGAAGATCCGATAACGGCCGGTGTGGATCCGAAGGCATAATTATTGCCCCCGGAACCCAGAAAAGGAGGTATATCCGCTCCGTGACCTCCAACGTGGCCCCAATATCCTACAGGTGCTTCACTAGGATAAGGTCCAACGCTTGAACTCACACCACTTCCTCCGGCTACTCCTCCTCCTCCTCCAATCCCGTTGCCGGCTGTACTAGAATAACCCGGATAAGAACCTCCTCCGTACACTCCACCAAAACCTCCTCCTATATTACGGATCATAAATATAATGATTGTTTCTTATTCGAACTTTAACATTTAAAACCTCACCTATTGGTTTACCCGGAGTTGGATAAGGCGGTTTGCCACTGCCTAGAAAATTGGATCCTTGTCCCAGGGGATCGGGTCTTGTGAACGGTGTTGACGCGACACCGCCGTCTGTGAATAGAATAATTAACAACAGATAAATAATATGTATTTCGGAAATATGCAAACAGAATTGATCAAAAAATCACGAGACCGAAAATCAACAATCAATAATAGTGATTCAATCAATATAATGGTAGGTCAACTCACTCATTAAATTTTCGTAATAATCGTAATCAGCGTCGTATATCACGCGATGCCCGTCTCTCTGGTTGAAGCGGCTAAGCCTGCAGATCCTGAAACGCTCGCTGTAAACGGCCGAACGGCACTGGAAGCTCACTTGCCTCAGACACTCATCCAGACACTCGCTCAACGACCGTCCAGTGATTTCCGAATGAAACTCACCGCCGAGCCGGCTGTTCCTGTACCGTTGGAAAGCCGTGTCGGGTCTGCGGCCATCGGCGAATAGGTGTGACGTTAACGTGTTGTCCGAGAACTCATTGCCCTTGGCTGTAAGCAAGTCGCCACCTGATATTTCGTTAGAGATTTGCAAACACACGTTGGGTCAGTGATTGGTTAGCAGGGGGGTGACTTAAATTAATCTTAAACACTTACGGTTGTCCAAGCACACCAGGTCGTACAGATCGTGCGTAGGACTGTTGCTCACTCTGAGATCATCCTTCTGCGACATCGAGTCTTCCTCGAATATTATGCAACGTCTGATTTGTTCGTCGTACTCGACGGCCCGACAGAAATATCTAAGGAAGAGTGCAAAAAAAAAAAATTTAAAAAACTATCCGTTGGTAGTTTAAAATCCCAATTTCGATAGGTCGATTGCATGTTTAAAGTCATATCATTATATATTATACTCACTTTTCGGCGCGTAAACATTGCGCTTGACACTCGATCAAAGATAGATTGGCGAAAATGTCCACTTCAAACGGCCCACCCAACCGTTTGTTTTCCTCTTTGACAAATATAACTGGCCCATCACAACGTCTTTCGACTGAACGTGCACAAAAAAAAATCAATTGTAATATTTTCTCAAGCGAATAATTTAACTGCATCGTACGAAACAAATGATAAATAATCGCACAAGTGGGAAATATGCTTACCGTTCAAACAAGTGTTTTCTAAATAATCAGAACTAGGATCTTCTTCAAGTAGTTCTGGGTGTGATCTCCTGGTGAATCTGCTGAGCCAACAAGTTTTTGAGGCCGAGTCGTATGTCACCGATCGGCAAACAAACGTGAACTCGTTCAAACATTTGTCTTCGCAATCCGTCCGGTTAGCTGCTATCATTTCCTTATATTCGCTAGGTGGTAACTTAAGTTTCTTCCTGGTATGTCTTTCGAAAACGTAATGTCTATTGGCACATTCTCTTTCAATCCTACTAGCTGTAAATTATACGAACAACATCAATTTTCGGAACACTAAATATTTTTAATTTTGTCCTATGTCCGTTCGTATACATACGAAAAATACGAGTACATATGTATGTTACGGATAAAGTTCGAAAATTGATATTTTACACATTACTCGAGTAAAGTAAACCTTATTCGTATGAATAATATAATGTGTACATTATCCAGTGTGCTATGGATAAGGTATGAAGTAGAAAAAAAACCAAATCATATGAATTCGAGAAAAAAAAATTATTAAGTAAATTATGTATTATTAAATTAATATTTTATACATGAAAAAATTTAAATAATTAAATATAGTTATTTATAGGAACAGTTCAAATCCGGATGGCATTTTAAGTTGCAAAATATCTCCTCAGATTTACATTTACTCGTACATTTATTTGTTAAACAATGATTTTTATACAAACATTTTTTAAAACTTTGACCATCGAAAATAAGTTGTGCATTAGTTATTTCACACAAAGAATTTTTTTTGTAGCCGACACTTGTAAAATATTTATTAATGGTTCATTATGATTTATTTGTTTTTTATTACGTTTCTTATTTCAGATAATATGTCATAGTATTCTGATTCCGTTAAATTTACCGAATTCTCATTCTTTTCATTGATTAATTTATTAAATTTCTCATAAAATTTCTTTTTTTAAAAAAAATTAAATTATCAAATATTAATAAACCGAACAAGTGAACTTGAAAACCGATAGCACCATATTGAAGTTTAAAATTAATATACAATAGCAATGCACACGATTTATCGTAATATACAATTTATACTCGTATTTTATGAATATTATCTACAATTGATATTTTATCATATTTTATTTTATGAAAACACTTTGTCCGCTCAAAGGTAAATAATGTACAAATTACCTGGTTAATGTACCTAAAAAATAAACGTATTACAAATCAGTGCATTTTTTAAAGAATTTTAACTGGATGACAGTTTTTTTTTTCTCTCAAAATAATCTGTATACTTAGGCTACGCTCAGACGACGACATTTTTCTCGTATACCGTATACGAGATTTTATCAAAAAGAACAGTAGCAGCGAATGTTATATTTGTACGTTTACACAAAGTCCACGTGAGAAAATTCCGTATTCGCGAAATATTGTTTTTCATACACCGTACGAACTTGTCACTACGATTCGATAAACTTCGAATATATTTTTATCGTATTTGTGATTAGTTAACGCTTGTCTTGTATTATTATTATTATTAAGCTTTTTAAAATGGAAGACGATAGTATTTCAATATAGTAGAATCCTTTTCTAGTCTTAATAATAGATTGTCAAAATTAGCCATCGACATACGAAAATAATTATAAAATTTCTGTTCTCAGTCAGGTTTAAGTAAAATTTTTCAAAACGTTTTTCACGTCATGGATCATTTTTTAAAAGAGGATATACCCAGAATCTTCGATGTACCAACGTTCCATACAAACATTTCTATACCAATAAAAAATGAGTGAAACACGTAATCTATGATAACAATTATGTGTTGACTGCCGACAGTGCTACTATATCCATGTATCAAAACCTGTACGTGAAAAAATCTAATCAGTCACCGTCTGAACGTAGCCTTAATGGGGTGATGGTAGTATTTCACGTTCGGCCTGCATAATTTTATTTAGTCTTTCAATCGAACGGGCGACATATCATGTGTCACCAAGTCAACTAGTTTAAAAAATGCACTGTTACAAATATGTTTACTTTATCCAATAGGCCTGAGTATTGTTCATATTACCCGATTTTCGTACTCTATTCGTAACATATACATACCTACCATAAAAAAATATTGAAATTCAGATCATCCGAATTTGTTATACATAATAGCATAATTGCTTAAAAAATTATTCCCAATTTGAATATAGATAGCATTATGTTTTATATATCTATAAAAATTACTAATCACCAGTTGATTAATAGTGGCATTATTGCTATAGTTTTCATATAGTTATTGTATTTTCAACTTGTAGCAATTATTAAGAATGGTCTATTATTATTCTAGTAAATAATAATTTGTATTACAATTTTTTTAAATATATACTAAGTGCCATATGAAAAAAAATCGTTATAAATAAATAATACGAGTAAAAATTACTGTTACGCACGTGATAAATATATTTATAGAGACAGAGAATCACAATAATTTCTCTAACACAAAATGCATAAACTGAAACACTATGGCTTATATTTTTATTAATTTATTGGAAAATGTATACAATCTTCAAACAATAACTTGTTCAATCACTATATGTGTGATCGTTGAAAACTAATTACATTTATGTGTACGATTTGATTAGCTTAAACACATAACAGGCGTTCAGCAGCGGCACACGAAGAACAAGAATATATTGAAATTACTTTTTTTAATCATTATTATTATTATAAAAGTAATTTTTTATTTTTAAATATTACTAAATCCAATTTTATCACGATATCTACGCCGAAGACTTTATGTTGAATTCCTTAGAAAGGTATCATGGACAAATAGTGTAGACATGTCAGCAACTGGACAAATTTCAAAGTTCGAAAGGAATGCAAAATCAAAAACGAGGTTATGAACACCTATGATCGATGAAAGTTTAATGGCATAACGTGTATTCAGAATGGCGTAAATAAGGTATGTTTTCGTTTGAATACCATGTTGAATTATTTTACATGATTTGTTTTATACATTAATTTTTCCAAAAAAAAAAATAAATAAGTCTTAAGCAATTTTATAATTACGCTGTCAGTTTGACACCGGGTTACTGAATGATTAATTTTTTATTGAATATCGGGAAGAGATAAAAATAACGTCGGAAAATGTTGTTATTATATAATATTATAATTTCAAAGGATAATAGATACAACCGGCGAATAATATAATTGCACTACCATTCCCAATATACGTGTTGGAAAAAAATTATTTACTAATAATCAATAGTTTAGTAACGAAGTAGTAAACACAATACGTGTATTGTATAATTTTAATGCGTATTTTCTTCGCTATAATAACGTGTTAAATGTATTTTTTTCCCATAACGATACGTCCACAATTCAACTGATATCTAGTATAACAAATTTTTTTACCACCATGATAAATAACTTGAAATATATTTGGAAATAACTTCATAATAATGATGATTTTAATTGAACTTCCCAGCAATTTAAATCGTGATTGATAACACAAAAGGTTATTCACCTCACGTCGATCACATAACATAACACGGTCGGTTGCACACCGTGTGTTTGACCGGGGGTGATTATTGTCCAGAACAAACATAATTCGTACGTTAATCGAGGTCAAAGAAAAAGCAAAATATGAACTGGACTTTCGAAAATAATCATCAAATTTGGACGAAAAAAAATTATATACTGTTTGAAAGTTATATGTTTTATTGATTTTTTTTTTTTTTTAGTGTAAATGTTTGCATTTAAACTTAACTGGTAAAAATTATTTGGATTTATTCAAAAATTATCTGAGCTTTTAAATTATGCATTTAATATTACTATTATTAATATTCCACGTATATATAGTATATATATATATATCAGTATATATCTAGCATTATACATAAGCGATTTTTTTTTTATTCTACGTAATAATGTTGAAATATTAATGTCCTAAAAAAGTTACAACAACATAATTTATAAAACATTGAAACGTAAAACAAAGTAATTATTAACTGCTGAAAATATTATTTCCGAAAGATATTTCCGTATAATATCAAAAAAATAGTATCTAAATCACTAACCAATTTTTATTTTATATACCTAATAATAGATTTTCATTTTTATTACTAAATAGGTACTGCTTTTATTTTTGTAGAATTTTGTACAATATTATATGCATATCTTAAATCTGTATTACAATGGAAACGAACCGCTTAGGAAACATAATACTAGTAGGAATATTATTACATAATGAAAAAAAGATACACTTTGAGTTACAAACGACATTGCAATAGTAGTAGGTGGCACTGTATTCTAATAATAATGAGATAATGAATATTATGTTGAACGATGAATATATAATGAAAATAAATTAAATGAAAACTTTTTTAAATAGATTGATTGAAGCGTCGGGTGGCACTACTGAGTGCCCTCCCACATCTGTCACTCTCGATATGTAAATACTATGCTTATATCAAAATTACTAAATGTACTTAAATAGCTGTATAGATTGTAATTATATTTTAATAAATAAAAAAAAAAAAAAAAAAAAAAAAAAAGATTGATTGAATCATATAATTAATTTAAAAATCTGCAGTAAAACAATTAATTTTTCCCCTTATAATATAACAAAAACATATAAATACTGGAAACGTTAATTTTCTTATACTAAATGTTTAATACAATTTTCCAACTATTTTAGAGAACGCTGTTGATTTTCAATCACCTACCACCACTCGCCATTACTGATAAAATAATAAAAATAATTTTCTATTATTTGAAAGGTCTTTTGGCATTATACAACAATAACACGACAATTATGAGTACAATACTACAGTTATTAAGATACAATTTAAAATAAAATCAATAAAAAAATATACAATATGTTGTTGAAAAGTGAAATAATGATGAATGCTGATAGGCACAATTAATTAATTATATTGGTTTTAATAGAGAAGAAGAACATAATTTGGAAAAATTAAAGTGGATTAAAGATAAAATTTTAAAACTGAAATAATAGTATATGTATATATATATATATGTATAATACATATATTACACACGTAGAGGTGAAACTAGAAATGTTTACGCCCAGGGAAAATATTAAAATTATGCCCTATCATAGACCAATAATCAAATACTCTTCTCAAGAATTTTTTTCTAATAATAAATATACAATCATACTTATTGAGTTTTAACCTAAAATCAAAATTTAACAAAGTTAAAAATATCAAATTAGTTGTGAAAAATTACAAAAATTACACCCTCTAAAATGTTACAACCAGGAACGAATCCCTGTCTTCCACCCCCTATTTCTACATCTATATACGCATACAAGAAGAAGATATTAAATAAATAACATGATCGAAATGGTTAAAAATAAACATTTATTTAAAACGGACGTTAAAAATAATATTAATGGATCTGTCAATTAATTGTTTTAAATTCATCGGGAAATGTAATAATTATTTAACTGTCCGATAATGTGATTGGTGATTGATTGATAGCATAGGCGAGCGCAGACTTGTATCAAGGTGTACCTGCAATACTTTTGGGCCTTATCTTAAAAAAAACGAATACCTAGGTATATTTAATAAATGATGGTGTATAAATAATTAAATAAACCTAACTACAATTTTATATTTAACATTGTGATGTATTAGTCCCAATGAATATGTTTTCCTTGAATCTCGTATATTTTTCTCAGATAGCTTCAATTATTTATGATTTGTACTTTTGTATTAAATTGTAACTGTTAAACTATCATAATATTTTCGTGCGAAAACTTGGAAAATTTCGGTACATTTTTTCTATTACAAAACATAATTAATTTTTTTACCAAATACGAGTATTTTAAAATAAATGATATTTAATTTAAGAAAAATTAGTTAACATATAGGCCTCTTATTCTTAAATTTAAACTGTAAGACTCCATTTATAAAATTTTGCATATTCTCGTGCGCATACCTATGGTTGGCCAATATATCGGTGTAATCTCATCTGAGGAAGTGATATAAAATAATATAAAAACTTATTTTACTTATTTAAGTAAAAAAAAATGTCCAGTCAAAACTCTAATTAAGCGAGTAGTGATTTTAAATAACAACAGAATCGTTAAATGTTTATTAAATTAGAAATTATGTATGAAGTATGATATCTCTAAACGAATAAATGTAACAGTACAGGTACTATCGGTTCAGTATTGATTGCAAACAGTAAATTAATAATGACCATTATTAATAGTTGAACTGTCTCATCCGTATCTAATTTAGTGATATAGAATTATATGTACATATTGTCCTTCACATTTTATAACAAGCCTTGAGTAACAAGAGAAGGGTAAAATTAAAAAAAACGTAATATATTTTTTTTCACGTTTAACATAATGTAACATAATTATTTAGTATAATATAAAAATTAAATTGAGATAATTCAAAACGTAAAGAGCTTAAAAAATATTATTTGTGTTGTCAAGTTGTCGAAATATTGGATTAGATATGTTGTGCAGAGGGATTTATTAATTTTTTTTTTAGACTATATAATTATAGTTATTATATAGTATATGGTAGTTATAGTACATTGAAACATAGTAATAATTATAAATGATTTATTCACGTTCATATATATTTGTATAAAAGTATTATTCTCATAAAGATAACATAAATACATTTAAGATCCTGACATTTGTAGCCCGGTTACTAGTTTCAGAACAAACGGCAAAGGGCAGATATCAACAGATTTGAGCCGTCTGGGCATAACCTAAACCGTTTGTAACCCAAATCTTGATAAATTATTATACATATCTACACGATAATATTATACTAACCCACGTGACAACATTGTAATAATGTACACCGATCGTTTAAAAAAAATATTTTCATGAATAAAAGTTGTACCATAGTTTCTCATACCACCAGTCATTCGATTTCATTCGAATTCAATTAAGCGTACCTACGTCTAACTGTTCTTTGACAAATATAAAATATTTTGTTACACTACAGTGAATACGACCGACGACGGAACGGTTTTTGATTATGTTTTGTTGTTACAGTTATGTGCGCGACGCGTTTGAACACAAAGTCATGTTTGATTTAAAAACTATAAAACAAAATCCATAAGTATATTAAACAATGTATTTCCGATATGACGAAGAAAAAATAAAATTAACCTTTAAACTGAACATTAAATAATTGCGATGCATAGTGTTAAATAGTAATCACGGTATTATTGTATCTAATTACAAATCGTTTTTGGGTATGTTTAATTTGAATCGTGTGTGATGATTATTATACGCCGCAAACGTGGTAAAAAATGTGTTGGTCAAATAATTCGTTGCCAATAGATCTGCATGTATATTGGTACGAAAGTATCACGTTAAAGGTCTCCGTGCGTTCGACGTGATCTATTTTAAAATAATACAAATCGTTTTACTCGTGAGAAATATTTTCGATTCGCAACGATCGAATGATTCCAGGTCGTTCAAGTCTCCCGACACTTACCATTCAATGGTCGGGAATGGGCACTTTTGTTGATCAAAAAACCAAGTTCTTATTTTTAATATTTTTACCGAACCGGCTGAGCTTAGCTTTTGCCGCACCACCTTTGATATAATGTACATTAATGCAGGATTATGCGGTACTCACATGACAGACACACTTCGGTGTAATGCACGCTATTGGGCACGACCACCAGCACGCCGATACCTTCTGGGTGTGCCTGTTCCCTGGTCAGGTAACACGTGGATTCCTCGTACTCGACCGTGCCGCTAAACGAAGCGATTCGACTGCCCGGTTGGAAATCAAACGACGTACACGTCCGTACTAGGTTGTTGGTGGCCGTACGGTCTCGCAGACAAAGCTCTTGGCATTTTTCCAGCACTCGGAAAGGCGGGGCCGTGTCCCGTACCTAAAACAAGCGGAACAAAATATGCAACTGGGAATAGGTTTTTTGTACAAAGTGCACCTATAGTTTTATAGAAACGGTGAAACCATTATAATTTTAAAACAAAGAACAAAATAATACGTCCTATGAGTTTGTAAACTTTTTTAAGGGTCGGTTTAAAAAAAAAATAAGAAATCTTGCTAAACTTGCCATTTAAATCTCACTTGGAGAAAGAGATGTATCGAAATAAAATTTAATTTAAACTATAGACCATTTAATCAAATATTATGTATTAACTTGAGACGCGAAGTTTTGAAAACATTTAACTCATAATATCATCGTATATTACCGAACGAAATATATGCATTAAAAAACCGTACCTACAGTTTTCCGTACGATTAAATTGTATTTTATTATTTACTGATAAATTGAAAAATATTTACTAATTGCGTTTATGAAAAATTTTAACTACACCTAAACCATTTATTTAAATATGATATTGAAATTATTAGATATTATCTGTTTACCAAATTTCAGAAAAAAATAAATAAATATATATTTTCTTTTTACAAGTACTAAGCGTTTGATTAATTTTAGATGATTAATAAAATCATAAATATCGAACAGTATAGTTGAATCATGAGATATTTTCATCATTTAATCTATATATTCCGAGTAGTCTACAATGTTTTACTTTTGGCACTGGTATAATGCACAAACGGATAAAATATAATGTACTCACCACGTCATCATCGAATCCTTGCAATTGCTGATCGGGTAGTCTTTCGTAAACGATTCGGCCGATGCCTTGGTTGCACGTTGTTTGGGCTGCAATAAAAAAATTAAATAAATTACTAAACATAACAATGCAATGTCTCGTCGTGCTTATTTGTCAATAAAAATGTAATCGTAAACAGAATTTTTATTTTATTTTTATTCAACTGGAAATCTCAACCAAAATTACTGAACTATGTGAAAGCTTACCGATCGTGTGTACCGTTGAGTACATTACGAGCATCACAAAGTACGAAACAGTAAGATATGGTTTCATTATGACCATCATAATAATGCTGTATAAAAATAATTCGATTTGTACACTCTCAAACTTTCCTCGGGTGAAAAAAAGAATGAAAAACTACTCGTATAAGTCGATGGTTCACTTTACCAGCAGCAAATATTTTGTTACTGGGCTCAACGCTATAATGCTGGTAAAGCGGACGGTGACTCCATAATATTAAAAGCTGAAGTCAATCTTTCCACTGACGCTGATTGACAGGAACTAGTTATGGTCTGATGTACGTCTAGATCATCCTTCCACTACATGCGAAATTCCGACAGCGTGAAATAACAAATTAACGCAAATCAAACGTGTCAGTAATGGTGTGGGTTATGTATGATGAGAAGGGGCATATTTATTGGTGTCAAGTACAATTTATCAGTTTGGCTGTCCCGTATGTGTTTTATATAGAAAACCAATAATGCTTAATCACGATTTTTAGAATGCAAACATTTATTGTCGACACTATAATTTTACTGTAAGATGAATTTACTTAAAAATACTTAAATTTACTTAAATATACCTTAGAGTATTGTGATTACATTTGAAATTGTCAACATCGATTTTTCACAAATTAGTACTGTAAATCCATTGAATTTGATACGTGTAACAAGTACATGTTATCGTTATATCGTTATACGAGTAATATTTGGACAATCTAGTAACGTGCAAATGACGACAGAGAGCTAATAAAATATTTTTCTCCGTCGATCATTTAATTAAACAAAATTGTTTAATTGAAAATTATTTCACATTTATTATTATTTAAGACATTACACACACTATTTTTTTTTTTTTTTTGCTTAAGATTGCATTGTTATCGGTAATGGTTCTAACAGTAATATATCAAACCATTGGGATTATGTCTAAAATTAAAAAAAACACAAACATCATACCATTCAAAATAATATCACTATTACGTCCGAAAATATTTATTGTGTTACGTTTATAATATTAATTATAGATTCGTTTAAACCGATAAGGCGGCGCTGTGTAGGCAAATGTGATACGTGCAAGACGGCGGTAACAATCTTTATCGTTGCATTCGACCATCAACGTCTCAACGCGCGCACCGTATCCATACACGTGCACTAGTGATTTTCAACCTGGATGGGAGCCCCCACTAATTAATTAGCGTCGCCGACACGGGATTTGAAGTAAAAAAAAATTAATGCAATAAAATGTTAAAACTATGTCGCTGAAATAGACATTAGTAAAATATTATTTTAACAGTACGATAATAATTTTAATAGTTTTTTATTTTACATCTTCGAGGGCACTTATAAAGTTTTCAATTACATTTGCATGTCGGATAATCGTTGCATTAAATTGTATGCGCTTGAATTTTTTCAAGGATCGTCAGAAAAAAAAAATCGAACGTTTTATTTGATACAATCGAAAAGGCCTGCAGGTGACAATTTGTTCAAACGTTTGGGCTAGGTCAATCCGAAGACGAAGGAGAAGCATCTGAGTGCGTACACATAGGTTGGTAAACCCAGCGGGATCGGGACCGGAAACAAAGAAAACTCACCGTGACTTCCTGGCCGCCGGTCAATGTTCGATTGTTATTTTTTGACACAGTTTGACGGCAGGACATTGGCGCTGGTTAAAAAAAAAATTACAATGCCCAAAATCCGTTATTGTGCACAAAATTCCACCATGGCCGTGTGTTAATCCGATTACGTGCGCGGTGCTATTGGCAGCGGTCGGGCGATAGACGACTTATCGCAAAAATAAAAAAATTGATTACCACAAATTTAAGATCCCACCCGCTGTAAATCGAGTAATAAACGCAGGCTATAGGCAAATATGGGATTATTAACCGGCGATAAAAGTTACGCTTTGGTCGAACATCGAATAATTTTTACAACTTTTGAACTTATCAAATTTGTTCAACTATAGCTTTGTATCACAACCATTGTTATATCTGTGTGCTCAACTCCAACTATTATGGAAATAATCATAGATAATTTTAAAAACCGACTGGATATATTTTTTTCATTTTTATTCAACATTCGATATACAAAAAATTGATAAATACAAGTAAGATACTTATTGCGGATAAAATCATGATCAAAGTTTATAAAAATGCAAAGTTATTAGCAATTGAATGAATAAGTAATACGACATAGTAATTATAATAGGTACACTATACTTATTAATACATTTGATTTATAACTAAGATATATATATATCGATATTGTCTTTCTCTATGATAACTTAAAGCTAAAATAGTTATTATTTAATTGTTTCCTAATTTAACGATTTGTACTGAACTCAAGCTAATCGTTTTATCGACCTACTCAATTTAATTATTATGAATATATTATTATTATTCTGAATTGTATTATGCCTAGTAAAATAAAATACGCTTATAACTATTGATACTATAATATCAGTATCCATATAAATTTGAATAAAACTATAAAAGTCGAGAAAATCCGATACATTTCTACAGTAAAAAGTTCATAATATTTTCAATTTTCATACAATTTTCATGCGTTTTATAAAAATAAGATTTTCCTTATATGAAAAAAAATATATATATTTTACTGGAAAGTTGCATTAATAGTTTACATTAAAACCGTCCCACTGAGAGCACATTGGTTTCCCTCTATCGCACTGCGGATTCTCGAGCTTTTTATTTACTTCTGGCGATTTTCAACCGAGCCATTGTGTGTGTTTTAGACAAATGCATAATGAGTTGTACGCTTTTCGAGATAATAATATGTAATCAAATTACAGAAGCGCTGGTTTATAATGTTTCGTATGTAATCATTGAACAAGCGGCGCCGCGACACCGCAGTGATTGAAAAATAAATAAAAAATTTCCCATTCCTCTCAACGAACAGCCCAAACGCGCAGTGTAAAAAAAAAATCACGACACATACTTGCGATACACGGTTAAGCGCAACGAGCTTCGTTAAAATAATATGATTTTTGTAAAAAAAAAAAAAACTAAAATTATAAAAAAAAAACGTTATAAAAACCTACGCGTGATTCACTCATGTTTCGAATGGGCAGTGCGGGGAAATAGATCCACGCGCGTATTTTTATTATATATGCACTAGCATATATAATATAATAATTTCATCCTTTAACACTGGTTGGTCATTGCGAATCACTCATGCAATAACTCGTGGCGTTTGGGTCTCTCCGCGACAAAAGAGTGCAACGAACCGCGGGGTGATATCGGGGAACGATCTCCGCGCTCTCAATGACACGACGCGGCCATGGGACGTAAAGTCAGGACCGATTCAGGCAGTACATTAGCACATAATACATAATGTTATCTGCTAGTCGAAATTTAAATAATTTACGCGGCACGATCGGCCGGCAGCAAACTTTTTAAAATTCATCATCATAATATTACGTGTGTATTCTTTTCAGTCAAGTTGAATCATTTCCGACGTATTATTTTACGACGAAAAGAAATAAAAATTTAGAAACCCCGTTATTGGCATTTTTGTTTTCTATTCGGCGGAACTGAAAGAAAACATATTTAACAGTACAATATGTATAGATCATTATAATTCAACGCAAGATCCAATCGAATTTCAAATTTTTATTCGCAATCCTACCATTTTGGGTTTTACTTATAATGGTCAGTTATTTTTGTTATAATAATGATTAACGAATAATCTACAGCTGTAGGTTAATTATTCATGATACATATTTAATGAAAATATGAATTCTTAAACATCTCATGGTCAATATTAATCATAAAAACCATTCATTGACACATATAATTTTATACTTAGTATTCTATGATAAAGAACTCGAGACTTCAGCAGTAACAGAAATATTAACAGTTTTAGATATTTTTAATTGAAATATAATTTTCTGATTGTATTATATTTGGTTTCATACATAAATTTAGTGCTATTCTCGTAGTGTTATTTCCCATACATACCTGATTTTAAAAAATTGTTGAAAAGTTATAGATATATCTATTCCACACACTCGCAAATAATTCGCTAATAATAAACGTTTTTTCGAACTCGGAAGAAATCTCATCTGTATTTTGATTAAATTATCATAAATGCCGTTTAGTAATTCAATAACACGATTACAACAAATTTATGAAAGCAATTTTTTATCAAACTATGTAACAAGTCAATATTAATTGACTTCATATAAAAAACTAAAAAAAAAATGTATATCAAATTTAAATTCAATAAATGTACAATTTTATTAACTGTCCCGTAGACTTTATAACATAGAATTATACTCATACACCTATGTTATTGGACATTTTATTATATACCAGAAGTCCAAGTCGACTAATATTATATAATGACAAACACATTAAATGGTTGAATTCAACCACTGACATTGCTCAAACCATAACCATGAGAGAAATATATTTTATTTTATTTAATTTTTATAACAGTATGGGACATCAGCCCAAGACAAGAAAATATAAAGTATCTACTATACACAGATGTAAGCGAAACTATTTTTCAAAATTTCTCTGACTTCATATTGTCAATATTACGTTCTGTTACATTATAATATAATAGGGATTACGCTATATCGACAAATATTTTGTTTTATTATTTTTTTCATAAAAATTCCTATGTACTTGATGAGAATATCTATCCCGATGAAAACATGAGTATAAAAAAATTTAAAAAAATTTCTTTGAGCACATTAAATATAAAAATATAAATTTTAATTATTAATAATATTGTTGTCAGACGAATCTCGAACGTTAGAAAAACCACTGGGGCTAGAGTATTGTGAGATAAATATCATGGAATGTGAATAATAGGATAATTGAAAAATGTAAAAAAAACTTGAAAATATTTCTCTGGTAAAATATATAAGTATCACTTGTAAAAAACATAAACTGTCAAAGAAAAAATATTAAATAAACACATGCAATAACCTAATATAAATACAATTAGAAATTTTTTTTTTTTAGTTGAATTTTATCTACAAGCCAATTATGATAGAAATAACACGGTTTTATCCTCCATTGTCCGACGAAATGACGAAGATAGTAT